AACAGGTGAACGACATAATATAAAGACCGGTTAAAATACCAATAACAAGTTTTAATCATATAGATATTTAATTGATTCTGTTAGCAACTATGGAAAATTGTTAGAGAATACGGTATCCCAGAAAAATTCGTCCAGATCCTACGACACCTTTACAGTCAATCTAGTTGCTGCATTAAAACAGAAGAAGGGAACAACAGAGTTTTTTACAATCGAGACAGGTGTGAGACAGGGGTGCATCTTATCTCCCTTCCTTTTCCTCCTAGCCATCGACTACATAACGAGGAGAGCAATGAACCAGACTGCCTTTGGTATTCCATGGCATGAATAGCTCCGATTGACGGACTTGGACTTTGCTGATGATGTTGCACTACTCGGGGCATTCAAGAAATGACGGAGAGCCTAGACAGAGAGGCACCCAAAATTGGCCTCCGCATAAACTTGGATAAGACTAAAATTATGCGAGTGGGATATAAGGCAACGGGTGTCCCCGTCAGACTTGGCGAGTCAAAGCTTGGAGAGTTGGACAAGTTCACGTACCTTGGCAGCATCATAACAAATGATGGAGATGCTTGCCATGATGTAGAGTGCCGAATAGGAAAGGCAGGGAGCATTTTCCAAAGGCTGCAGCCTATTAGGACTAGCCAAGCCATTGGACTCGAGACAAAAATACACCTTCTCAACACAATCGTCATTCCAACTGCTACATATGCATGTGAGACGTGGAAGTCATCTGTCAAAATTGAGAAAATGATGGCTGAGACGGATTTTGGGAGTCAGTTACACAGATCAGGTCTCAAACAAGGAAATCCTATGCCGAACTGGGAGTCGAACACTTGGTGAGGTTGTGACTGAGCGTCGCATGAGGTTTGCGGGACATGTTCTACTTCAAAATGAATTACGCACACCAAGAGTTGCGATAACATGGAAGCCAAAACAAGGAAAGCGCAAACAGGGACGCCCTCGTATTACTCGGCGACACACCTTCATGGAGAACCTCAGAACAGTGGACACTAGGTGGGAGGAGGCTTCAGACATTGCCAGTGACAGATCTTTATGGAGACAGCTTGCCGCCCAATGCGCCGAACGGCGCGGGAGGACCTAAGTCTAAGTAAAAGTAAGTCTGTTAGCAAGCTGTGATTTCTACATATAAATAGGACCGCCCCCCCCCCCACTCGAAAGTTTATGGTTGGGGGGGGGCAGATTGATCCCATCGCCCCCTCCCGACCCTACCAAATCGGCCAAAATACTGGAAGGAGGGGGCGAAATAATCTTAAATTATAGGTTGAAATATAAATAATTAGTATATATTATTAACATAAGTAATAAATTCGTAAACAAATTGTGTGAATTCTATACTAAAATTCGTCCGCCGAGTGGGGGAGGGGCGATCGCCCCTACCGCCCCCCCCCCCCCCCCCTGGATCCGCCAGTGCTTGTACCTTAGCGAACTAATTACTCCATATGTCCCTCAGAGAGCCCTGCGCTCAATGGACTCAACGCTTCTAGCGGTGCCACGTTTCTCCCTCAAAAGCTACGGTCTGTGGGTTTTTTCAGTGCACGGACCAAAGGTTTGGGACTCACTCACCATTGATCTCAGACAACGTGCTACATTACATTAAAGAAGAACATCTGTTTAAAACGTGTTTATGTTTGTAATGTTATCTCAGCGCCTTGAGCCGACATTTTGTTTGTTAACAGCTCTCTATAAATTAAATTTATTAGCCTATTATTATTATTGCGACCTTTAAACAATGAAATTGGGACCACAAAAAAAAAAAAAAAAAAAAGCTATGTATGTTGTCACACCAAGATGTACGAAGCAGGTAAAATGGATGTCTGCCTAGTCGTGTGGTAAAATATGCAGTCGACTTAGTGGTCAAGTACTGGAATCCTTCTTCCCGCCGTCATTTCCCGCCTCCTGCCAGAGGTAGGCTAATTGAGTCTTCAATCCTGGAAGAGCGTCCGAAACGTAAAACAAAACAAATAAAAAAATCCACACACTACTGTGCAGTGCAAAAGGTAGCCTATTTCGCTTCTTAATTCTCTTTATCACCCACTAGTCGGATGGGAAAAAAATAATGTTTCGGAGTTTAAACCGCCCCCCAATAAAATACTTCACACCTTGATCTGTTTTCCTACCAGTCGCTGGGCTAAATTAATAAATTCCATGATAAATTCTAAGCAAATTTCCACAATTGCGCGAGTGTAGCGGGAACCCCCCCCCCCCCCAACTCAAATAAAAAACAACAACTAAAGCAAAAATAGTTACCAAATTAATAATCGTAGCCCCGGTGGTGGGGTGGAGTAGAAGGGCTCAAAAAAAAAAAGCATTCAAAAGACTAAATCTAATAGAACACCTAGCAGGAGCATCTTGGGGCGCCGAAGAGAAAACTTTAAAACTGTTAGGCCTATACACTGGATTTGTTGTCTTCCCATACAAACAACAGCTAGAGAATCCATCAAACATCAGCAGACACAGTCCCAAATCAAAGCTACAACAAATCATGCCATTTAGTGGAGGTACAAGAACAACACCTACAGCAACCTGTGCTCCAATCATTGAACCTGTAAAGTTAAGGGCAGCACTAGATCTATCCAACAAATAGAGACCAAAAAAATTATCAAATTGTAGAACATAGCTCTGGGCAATATCGCAAACAACCAATCATCTAAACACATTTAATAAACAATAACTTTAACAAGGAAACTAATCCACTAGAACTCAAAGTAGACCTAGGTATCCTAGAAATAATAGAAAGTTATCTGAAAATGGCTATCTACTTATAAACTGTCTGCCTGGTCGTGAGATATTCGCTCTTAACTGCCGGTTGATGATCTTGATGGTCCTGGGTTTGAACCCTGCCCACCACCATTCCCGTCTTCTTGCTGGAGGTTTGGGCTAGGATGTATTAATCTTCAAATCCGAAGGAAAATCCGAAACATAAATGGAGATGTTGGTGTCTTTCTGTAAAGAATCGCTTTTGAGATAAGTGCTCCCTGTAGAGACGTTCTCAAATTTTCAGGCCGAAACCAAAGCAAATACGATTGCATTACTGACAGTAGAAACAAGTTATATGATAGAATACAAACACTGTCGGGTATTATTGTCTTTACAGACTCACAATCTATTCTTCAGGGTGACCCGACAAATTAGTGCGGAATTTTCCAACAAATTAGCGCAAGACAAAATAGCGCGAATATGATGTGTATAAAAGTACCGGATTTTAGTCAATGAAGGTCCTAGGCAGCATTTTTTGTTGAGGCTTCTATTAACTCATTGGTCGTTGTGCTGTACCACTATATGCACTACTGCCATCTAAGCAGGAAGCCGAGTATGTTCGACTCTTCAGGAAACTCCTGCTCCACAAAGTATGATGTTCGATTTTGAGAAGTCAAGTCAAAATGCAGTAAGCACAGTATTCCCGGCGACCAGACTTGACGGTTGTGAATTCCATCTTGAAAAAAAAAATTCTGACGTTAAGTACAAGATGATAATCTAGCAACTTCATACCGGCATGATAAAAATGTAGGCATGTTAGCCCTTTCATTTGTTCCACCTGGCGAAGAAAATACTGCCTTCGAAGAATTTGTATGTATATTGGGAGGACTATTAGGCTTTATTGGTCGCCAGAGATGACACCGCGGAGTGACTCCAAGATTTCCGATAGCAATTGGAATGTTAGAGATCGAGTAGGCCTACAGGACAAACTATCACGAAAAAACAATTCAGTGGAAGGACGGCAAAATGCATTTCAGCTTATCTATTGACGGTTATTATCCCTATATTTCTCAGTCTCACTTCCTCAGAGAACAGAACACTGAGAACAGGATTCTGAGGTAAAGCTGCAAGCAAGACAAAGTACCTCCAACTTAACAGATGTCTTGCAGCCATACTGCCAATGTACGTTAACAAGCCAACGATGGAGTTTCTGCGTGTCCATGGATACAATGGAACTATCTTTGCGTGTTTTTGAAGTGCACTTTTGGAATGTAAATGAATGATATATTTTGAAATTATTAATTTTAGCTTAATATAATCCTTGCATATTTATATTTTTGTTTTAGAAGTTTTCATGTTTCTTAAATAAAATTTTCTAACATTCTAAATATATTTTTTTTATTTTCATGAAAATATAATAATTATAATTAATACCAACATAACCCAGTGGGTCACCCGTGGAACAAATTGGAAAAGTAGGTCAAGGTCACGTGACGTTAAAAATTAATGTTGATATTGAATTATCAACATATTATATATATGCATACCAAAAGGAAATAATTTTAGAACCACTGTAAGATAATGTGGGTCTTCCAGGGTTAAGATAAAATATAACTTTATTTGAAATATAGTTAAAATAAATGTAGTAGACTTAGTGATAATACCTATAACCAAAATTTAGCTCACTACAACAGCACAACTTTTCAGTGTCACGTTCTGGGGTCGTCTCCCCTCACTAAGACTAAGTGACGACATGTGCACCTATGTTGCATCATTCACAACCAATCGCTACCCTCTTCCCACCTTCACCATGTAAACACACACACACACTATGCCTTTTGACTTTCCAGACCTGCTGTGTACTGTGCAATTCTGGCTAGTAGTTCAGGCATGGTTCCTTCGTTACTGAAATGCTTGTATCAATATGCAAAAAAAAGCTATTCTGAGAGCAAATCCCTTTATTTTATTTTTAATTTTTAAAATAATGAATGATATTATGGAGATACATAGAAATATTTAAACAAGATGATAAATAACAGTTTATTTAGAAGCTGTGTAGGCTTTAATTTATCTAAATGTCTTCAACTAAGAAGTAGACATTAATTCTGTCAATGATAATAATAATCTCATAGTGGTTAATGCATTTATATAAAAGTATATGTGTAACATTATGACCCACTGGGTCATCTACAAGTTTATGTAAAACAGAAATTCCCTTTATCTCTTTTTTTCCCCAATAAGTTAGACATATCTATGCGAACACACACACAAACTCGTAGGGAAGAATTTGATTATTTATTTTATTATCTCCAGGTATGAAAATTAAATTAAATACAATTTTGATTAGTACAAATAATTACCTTAAGTACAGTAAGAAACACAAATAATGATTTGAATGTGAAACTTAGTATTGTAATACTTTTAAAAATATCTAAGCTATTATGCCTTTGTGTACCCACATTAATAGAGGTGGCTAAACACTTAAACCTTGAAAGTGTAATAAACATTTCTAGAAAGAAAAATACACAAGTTCTAAATATGGACTTTCTCAAGAAGTGTGTTTTACTTAGGATTGTGATTCTTCTAATGAATAATCAGGGATCCCTCTTTTATCAATTCATTCTAATGTAAAGTATAAATAAATCAACAACTTGAAAAGATAAATCTGTCTGATAGTACACATTTTTTTGGTTAAGTAATGGGAATGCTTTTTGTCCCTTGTTTTTTTTTTTTTACACAACAAAACTTAAAATCATAGAACAGATCAACAATGTTTAAACATCTCAGAGGAGCTACATATTACCTGGAACAATTGTACTTTTTACAATGATATTATGTACTATCTTGCTTAACATTGTACACAGGTGCCCCAATAAGTGGTGGCAGAGAGTAACAATGGACACACACACTAAGGTGTTGGAAATTTGAATAGATTCACAATGAGAAGAACTTGGCACCAATACTTATGTCAGATGATGGTCGTAAAGATATTTTTTTTTAAATGTTCACATCCAACATGATGACTGTTTATTACATATTTATTTGTGACATCAATGGTAAGAAACTCATCACACATAAACTGGGCATGAAGTCTGACAAGGACGTAACAGACAATTCGTAATGAACATGATGTCTGACTTTGCTCTTGAGATGAACATACTGACAATTCATTTGCTTGTGCTTTCAACGCATAACTCTCAAAAAGTCCAAACATGCAATGATATAAACACATTTAATACATCAGTCCAACACTGATTCATGGGGAACTAGCTCAGTGAAAGCCAACAAAGTACAAAGCAGACCGAGATTCAACTTTTAGTTTAATCAACTAGAACAGAATCACTATTAACATTATTGAATACATTACAACTACATCTTTCCTTTTAATGATGTCTTTTTAAAGTATGTCTTTTATTCCAGTCATGAAATGTATAAATTAAGCCTGCTGAAGAAAAATTTCTAGTAATACAAATTTCATTCAAACATTTGCAGGACTCAGCAAGGATTCAAAGATTTTGTCTTTCAAAAAAATATTTTAAACATTAATTTATGTTTTGAATAGTCATTATTTTTGTAAAAATACATATGATGAACATTCTGGCCAAAAAAAGAACATTGATCATTTATTTAGTTTGAAAATAAAACAAAATTAAAAGAAAAAGTAAAACTCAAATGTGGTGCTCAACTTTAGACCATTTTTAGTGTAAAGCCTTATTACTGGTATGCTTACTGTCACTTGGATACATTACTAGGCTTTGGATAATCAACTTTTGGATGGTACTGCTTGCACAAAGTTGTTTCAGAATTAACAATACATGGAATGTTATGAAAGACAAATAATATATGTATATAGATTTCGGTAGCAAAGGTTAAAACTGATGAGTTTTAATTTATTTAAACATTTCATTTTCTCATAGTGCTCCTAAAGACTAATATGGACTCTCTTCAAGTATTACAATGTTAAAAATTAATAATTGGTTATATTTGTCATATTTCTTATTTTTATATAGTAAGCTTTTTGAAATTAAAAAAAAAAAAGCAAAATAAGTAAACATTTAATTTAGTTTATACTTAATACAAATATTTAAATATAATACATACATTGATTCTTTCACAGGTCTTACACTGTAATGATGGAAACTGATACACAATTCTAGGAAGCTGATTTGTAGCATGAAGGCAAAGAGCATTATACAAGAGTTCAATGTAGTTGTAGATTAGATGGCAAGCATATCTTAATCATAGCTACTTTGTAATGTTAAATATATGTTTCAAATGACCTAAAATGTTTCTATGTTAAATTATTAAGAAATTAAATAACAGTGTTTGGTTGTTTTTTTTTAAATTTATTTTAAAAGGCCATATACTTTATTTGCCAACAATTTTAATTGAAAATATTTTTAAAATACAAATCTTTTTGAGAACTAAAAATCTTTGTGAATGAAATAAAAATATTCCAATCTGAATAATATTAATGCTACTGATAAAGTCTTAGTATTAATGGTTAAGTCTTCGATTTTGAAGGCTGTGTGCAGTTTTTCATAAAATTACGCAGTCTTAAAAATGTAAGTTAAAAAGGGCATTACACAAATGATCAAAATCTGTCCTCACAAAGGAGAAATAATATGCTTTTTGTCAACAGCCTCTTACAGTGTTAAGTAGTTTGAAATGAGAGCATGCAAATAAACAAAATGAAAAATAGCAACAGCTTCGCAGATTGTTCAAAAGAACATCTAGTTTCCAGTAATCCCTTTAGTTTCACTACTAGTTATGTGAGCAAATCTTCTGAGCAAGAAAACAAAATCCAATCTTTTATTTCTACAAATAATTACTAAACAAAATGAACACAATGTTTGTGTAAGTTTCAGAGTTAAAAAAAGAAGACAACATCACTCACTACATTAAATACTGACCAAATTAAAAGTAGCTGTTGAATTCAACACCAGAAGTGAACACAATGTACGCAGAGCAATGTTTGAATACAACATCCATTTACTTACCATTATTTAGCACTATAATCTTCTTGGGATGCTATTTGGCATTCCAAATATGTATCCACAATAAATAATAGCTTAAAAATATTATACACTCATAACTAACTTGACATAACTAATATTTACAATCTCAAAAATACAAAATTTGAAAAGAAAAAATGAAAAAAAGTGAGATTAATTGATAATATATTACTATTAAAAGATATTTTGAACAGCAAATATAACAAAAATTGTTATTTCATACATGAAGGAATGTGATCAAATAGTTACAATTTTGTATTGGATCTAAAAAAAAAAAAAAAAAAAGTTGATATTGTTTATGGTTAAAATATCTAGAAAGTTTTTAGGGGCGAAATAAAATGGGCATACATAAATAAATATGAATTTATTTTAATTTGAACATTTTTTTTCTAGGAAAAGAGGTTATTAAACTAGAAAGAAGTGTCAAGCATAATAATCTTGTCCTAAATGCTAATCATTGAAGTAAGAAGTAGAACTTACTTCTTTACATGCTTTAGATGAAATAAATAAATTATTGTATTGTTGTTGTTCTCCTTCTGTACAGAGAGTCATAAGAATCACAATATTTGGCATAATAAATGTTTAGACAGTGACATCAAATTTTTAAAAAAATATATATTGCGGTGTTTCTTTTTTTTTTTTTTTTTTGGTTAACGAAATCTTGAAATATAGACACAGAGCAGATTTTTTGTTCAAAACTTTGGTTCCGAAAAGGAACCTCTTGTAATTTGTTAACTTCAAAGTTAGGCCTGTATTATTGCACATAATCAAAAAAAAAAAAAATGTTGTAAGTAGATGGTTTCTAATATAAGTAGAATGTTTTTAATCTGAGATAAACGTTTTGAATTTAACTTAGTACAATTTTAATTCAAGGACAAAAATCATTCTGTACAAAACAATGCATCAAATGAGCAACACTTACAAATATTAAGATATCACTGAGCTGATGGTTAAGATATTAATACTAAAATGTCCCCTTCAAAGGAGTCTATACAGTAGATGTCAGAGTTCCCATTCATATAACCAACCATATAGATGTGGCATACAAACCCTTGTCTGAACACATTCATGCAACAGATATACTCTTGTTATTTTAAAATGCATATAATATCCATCTGATCTAGCTCTAGATGCTGGTCAAGTGAAGCTGAAAACAGTGAAACCATGAAGTTTTATACAAATTATATTATAATTGGTTTGCCTGTACACTATTCCAACAATGACTTTACAAAATTGTAAATATTTTTTTTTTGTTGACATTCCTGAAGTGGTCCACATGAACTAGGTCTATGTACCATGATGATAAACTGTACAGGTTACTGCCACTTTAAGCTTTCAATGAGACACGCACACATACAAAGAACTAAGTCACCATAGAGTAATGAATACATTGGTACAGGCACAGACCTCAGCATTCAAGTTAATTGCACTTCATCAGGTTACAAGCATTGGTCTAGGTATTAAAAAATACAAAATGTTACATTAACTTGAATCTATTTAAAACTTTAAAAAAATGTAACAAAATGAATAGGCTGACAATGCTGAGTATGTTTCTTGGTTGAAAATGTCCCCCAAACCATTTCAAAGATTTGACTATTACACCATACAAGATGTTATTCTAATACAAGTAAAAAAACAACAACACACATTAGATGTAATAGTGCTCCTAATCAAAGAAGTAAACAGATATAAAATCTGGATTAAAAACTACACAAACAAACAGGACTCTACTAGAAAGTAGCTCAAGATTATGCTTCTTAAAGAAATGTTATTAATGTCTTGTTAACTCATTTTGAGAAAATTCTTGAGATGCTATCAACAATCTGTAGCGCAACCTTAGATTTCTGGCTCGCACATGGCTATTGTTGATTTCTTCAGTATGACTAGCAGGAAACCAACCTTTATTTCCATCTCGTATTCTTTCCCCTTCACACCAGCCTAAAAGACAAAATAGTGAATTTTTTTTTTTCATTTTAAAAATGAAAGTGTCAAGTAAGGATTAAAGATAGTCACCTGCCTGCAATGTTTTTGATTCAGAATATTGCCAACTTCCAGTTTTCAGACATATAGGTCTCATTCTTCTTATTTATTATATATACGTTAGTTCAAAAAAGAAGTAAAGGGCTATACAAGAGGTTAAAAAAAAGCGCTCTTCCAATACTATCCTCTCAGTTGTTTACTGTAATGTCTGCCAATCAAAAAAGTTTGGGGGTCAAAAGAGCTGCGTTAAGTATGAAAGGGAGGGAGTCGAACAAAGGAAATGTGCAACATACCTTTAATATAATTCAGTATATTTATTAAGGTTTGGTTGTCCTCTTTTTTTTTTTTTTAGTTTACTAATAGAACAATTGAGATAATCTTATCAACAACAAAAAAACTGAAATTTTGTTATTAAAAAAAATTGTAAATTAGACACTAATTCTTTTTGTAATTTAAACATAAATAAGAATGCCTAAGTCAATAACAAATTTTTAAAAATTAATTTTATTACCACTTATTAATTTGGTAGGTACATTCCATTGTTTTAAATAATGAACACTGCCATCAACTTCACTATAGGTCATAATTTATTGACATTTAGTCATAAAATATTTGTGTTATAGTTCAAAATAGAATAGAGAGATTAGCATGCTTCTATGTGCACATGTCACATTCTAAAGGTGCCTATTTACAAACATGTTATTCATGGGATGAATCCTGTACCTAGATCTGTATCATTTAAATAAACAAGCAATTTTATAAATATTTGAATTAAAAAAAAATATTTTTTTTTGTAAAAACAATTTTTCTTCCCAGCACACACAAAAAATTTCCAATCTAAAAAATGTGATAATGAAAGACAAATACCATCAGCCATTTTGCGAGTCACATTGATGACATCTCCCTCTTCTAATGTAATCTCATCCGGCTGCTGAGCAATATATTTCCTAACACACTGAAACTGTGGACAATCTGTGAGAAACAAGCACACATCCATTAAATAAATTTCTGTAATGACAAA